CAGACATTGTTGGAGAGAGCACGGTGCATGCTCTCTAATGCTGGACTAGAGAGAAGATTCTGGGCAGAAGCAGTAAACATGGCGTGCTTCCTGATCAACCGTGGACCTCACACATGTATCGAGTTGAAGACTCCTTATGAGGTGTGGTATGGTTACTGTTGCTGAAGGTAGCAGGAATGTTGATAAGCAGGTGGAGCTGCAAACTCTCAATGAGAGTGAGTTTGAGCACCAAGGTGGAGAAGATCAACATGAGGATGTCTCTGCAGAGCCAGAAACTTCAGAGTCCAGTGCACGAGCTCAACAGTCTATTGCTTCCGGTAGACCGAAGAGAGCGACTGCAGGAGTACCTCCACAGAGGTATGGCTTCGAGGACATCGTGGCGTATTCATTTCAAGTTGATGAGGAAGTGGATGCAGGAGAGCCACAGTCCTATAGAGAAGCAGTTTCGGGTGGTGAAGCTGATCAGTGGCTTGCCGCAATGGGAGATGAGATGGAATCCCATGACAGGAATCAGACTTGGGAGCTAGTCAAACGACCACAGGGAAGGAAGATTGTTACAAACAAGTGGATCTACAAGAAGAAGGATGGAATCACTTCTAAAGAGGGCATGAAATTTAAAGCTCGGGTGGTTGCACGAGGCTTCTCGCAGAGGGAAGGAGTTGACTACAATGAGATTTTCTCACCAGTGGTCAGACATACTTCGATCAGAGTGCTACTAGCAATAGTGGCACATTATGACTTGGAGCTCGAGCAGCTAGACGTGAAGACAGCTTTCCTACATGGAGAGTTGGAAGAAGAAATTTACATGACTCAGCTAGAAGGATTCGAGGTTCCGGGAAAAGAAGACTATGTTTGTAAGTTGAAGAAGTCCTTGTATGGACTTAAGCAATCTCCGAGGCAGTGGTACAAGAGATTTGACAGTTACATGCTTGAGCTGGGCTACAACAGAAGTCCATATGATTGTTGTGTATATCACAGCAAGGCAGAGGATGGTTCGATGATATATCTAGTTCTGTATGTGGATGATATGCTCATAGCTGCGAGGTCAAAGTCTGATATCCAGAAGTTAAAGGGGCTTCTCAGTGCTGAGTTTGAGATGAAGGATTTGGGAGCTGCTCAGAAGATCTTGGGTATGGAGATTTACAGGGACAGGTCGAAGAAGAAGCTTTTCTTGTCACAGAAGAGCTACATCCAGAAGATACTGTCGAGGTTTGGCATGTCTTCAGCAAAGCCCTTAAATACTCCTAGTGCTTCAAATGTTCATCTATCCTCAGCTTATGCACCACAGTCAGAGGCTGAGAAGGAGTACATGTCGAGAGTCCCATATGCTAGTGCAGTAGGTAGCTTGATGTACGCTATGGTATGCACTAGACCTGATCTTGCACATGCTGTTAGTGTTGTCAGCAGGTTTATGATACAACCTGGGAAGGAGCATTGGCAGGCTGAGAAGAGGATCTTTCGGTACCTTAAGGGTACACCTGATGTGGGGATTAGCTTCGGAAGTGATACAGAGTGCTTGGTGTCTGGGTATTCTGACTCGGACTATGCTGGAGATGTTGACACGAGGAGATCAATGACCGGTTATGTATTCACTCTTGGGAGTTCTGTAGTGAGCTGGAAGGCAACTCTGCACTCGGCGGTGACATTGTCTACTACTGAGGCAGAGTATATGGCGTTGACAGAAGCTGCTAAGGAGGGAATATGGTTGAAGGGACTGGTTGGTGATCTGGGTCTACATCATGATCAGGCAGTGGTGTATTGCGACAGTTTGAGTGCAATATGCTTGGCCAAGGATCAAGTCCACCATGAGAGGACTAAGCACATCGATGTGAGGTATCATTTCTTGAGGACAGAGAAGAGGATTAAGGTGAAGAAGGTTGGCACTGCGGATAATCCTGCTGATATGTTCACGAAGCCGGTTCCACATGGCAAGTTCCAACACTGCTTGGACTTGCTGAATGTCTTGAGTGGGTGACTCCGCCCTACGGGGCATTGATGGCGGGAGAGGGAGAAGGAGCAGAGTACATCAGAGATTTCAGAGGAAGAGGATTCAAGTCAAGGTGGAGATTTGTTGATATGACGTAAATCGTGTGTCGTGTTTTTCGATTCTCGCTTTCGTATTCATGCTTTGTCGATTCCAGCGATTTCCCGATCCGTAGCACCGCGTTTATAACAATGACAAACTCCCATCTTCCTGTCGCCGCCGACTTGTATCCAGAAATGCGGTCGTCATCGTCGTTGGCCCATTTGGGAATACAAAACATGCCATTGCAACATCCCACGATGTCTAGATGGAACATTATGGAAGAATGAATAGGTTTGTAATGTAAATCCCCCATGGTATTGGCGGCAGTAGAGATGGAAGGAGGGTATGACGTGCTCCCTTTTTTCCATTCCCAAATGAGCCAACAACATTGTGACATATATTATTCTATGGAATTCGACAATCTCAGAGACCAAGCACCTTCTTTATTTCCAAGTGTCCTCTGGCCAAAACGAAATAAGTGGACATTCTTCTACTAACACAGCAAAATCACAAACTATGCATCTCAATTTTTGAATGTCTTTTCTCTAAAACTATATTAAGACCCGGCCCGTTCGTCGGATAAATTTATCGATAATATAAAAATTTATAGAAATTATCCAATGAAAATTTTGTTTTTTTATTTATCTACATAAAGGGTCTAAATATTTGATTGTTGGAAAAATAAAAAAGAGCATGTATCATAAATTTATTTTATGAGATGCAAACCGATTCAACTAATGCAATTACCGAAAGTTAAAAAAATATCATGCAAGGAAATCCACTCCTAGCGTGTTCAAAATAAATAACATGTCGATTAGAAATGAATGCAAATTTTATTTTGGACTTCGCGATTGCTTTGTCATTAGCATTATCATCGCCACCAATAACAACACATTCTTCTCCATTCATGACACCTCTTTCCACTATTAGCATAATAATTTTCTTCTTGTCACCAATAAGTAATAAATACATAAAAGTAAAATTATAATAATTTTCTCTTCCTTCTTCTCCTAAATTTCAGTGAAAGAAAAATTTAATGCTTAATTTTTTGCAAATATGAAATATAATTTTACTCGAGTAGGCCTGTACTTTATATATGACAGATAAAGGTCTATCAGAGTATCAAATGCTCGACCTTGTGATTGTTCAAGTCGATAAACGTAATATGAAGGTTGACATGTATAACTTAAATTTTGCCTTTTTTGTTAACCAACGGAATATATATACTTAATATACTCCATATAAGTTTCACCTAGAGTTTAGAGTGACTATAGATTAGAAAATTCTTTTTAATTAACATAATAATTTTCCTCTTGTCACCAATAAGTAATAAATACATAAAAGTAAAATTATATAACTTAAAACTAAAAACTGAAAGAGGATATGCAAAAACAAAAAAGTAGCCCAACCTCGGTAGACTTCCCTTCCGGCCTCGGTGGAATAAATAAAAGAGATTATAGAAGTATAAAAGTGCAAAGACGTTTACAGCCTTCCGTCAGATGCGCTCAGAGCTGCAATTTATGCTTTGACCCACTCCTCATAGGGAATCTCCTTATATGAATAGGTAGACATTTATATTGAGAAAACAGATTGACGTGAAAATTAGGTTAGTGAAATCTCATGTATATCTCTTAAGATCTCATGATGTGAATGCACTTGATTTACATTATGATTATATTTTCCACAATCTCATAGTTTTATTTACATTCTCTTCGCAATATTGTTTATTTTAGGGCTTGTTTGCTTGATGGATTTGGTGAAGGATTTTGGTGATGGATTTGGGTTCATGATGGACTTTGTCCAAAATCTATTGTTTGCTTCAAGTATTTAGAGGTACCAAATCCGTGGGACCCATGGACTTTGAGGGTCCAAATCCGTAGGCCCCACGGACTTGATAATCTCTCTTTGGGGTCGTTTGCTTCATGGATTTAAAAATGAGGGTTTTGTAATTTAAAAACCCAAGGATTTATCAAGGATTTGAGGCATCATGGATTTGTAACAATCCTTTGTTTGTTGGGATGTTTTTATCATGGATTTAAAGGTGTGGGATTTACTACTTGAAGTCAAAAATTACATTACTGCCCTTTTCTATATGTTTGACATGTTTATGATATGTACACAAAACAAGGACAAAACTTCAAAATTACCTTACTATCATTTTCTATATGGGCCCCACGGATTTGGTATCCAAAAAAGGTGCAAGCAAACAACGGATTGTACCTAAATCCTTGATAGTTGGTTTTTTGGTACCAAATCCATGTACCAAATCCTTGAAGCAAACGACCACTTTAGGTGGGAATTGATCATGGACTTTAAAGTCCATCATTTTTTACGAACCTACCCCTCATATTTTCTTCCTCTTCTTATATTATTGAGGGCAATAAAGGTAAAGTTCACTTCATACATACAAATTTAATTAACAAAATCCATAATGAAATCCATGAAACAAACAATGATCTTTTTTAAATCCATAATGAACCCAAAACCCTCATATATTCATGGTTTATCAAAATCCAAGTTATACCAAAACCTTCATTTTCTAAATCCACGAATGCAAACGAGCCCTTAATCTCCCCTCAGAAGCATGCAGGCTTGAGATTAGCGACCGAGTTGATATAATTTTTTATTGCAGATGTAGAAAATTATATTAAATAATAGCAAATGAGAAAAAGAAAAACAAGTAACGATTTTTAGTAATCCAACCAACGCCAACAAACAAACATAATCCATTTAGTTACAATTTCAAGGAGCATAATTCATTAAACTTCCCTTTCTTTCTCTCCACCACTCCTTTTCCCGTCCCTCTTGAAAAACCTCCCTAACCAAATCTCCTCCATTTTCTCGTCTCTCCCATAAACCCACACAATTCCTCTTTTTCTCCCACCCAAGAACAAAAGAAAGTAACAACAAAAATCCCCCTCCTGGTCCCCGCAAACCTCCCAAACACGACAAATTCCACCCCCCAATTGAAATTATGCCGAGCAAATTACGCAAGGCAATTGGGGCGGTGAAGGACCAAACAAGCATTAGCTTCGCCAAAATCTCCAGCACCAACGCTTCCAACCTCGAAGTCCTCATCCTTAAAGCCACTCGCCACGATGATGTCCCCATCGACGAGCGCTACGTCGCCGAGGTCCTCTCCCTGATCTCCTCCAGCAAAGCCTACGCCGTCGCCTGCGCCCATGTCATCTCCAAGCGGATCGGGCGCACCCGAAACTGGATTGTTGCCTTGAAATCCCTAATGCTCGTCCTCCGCATTTTCCAGGACGGTGATCCTTACTTCCCGAGGGAAGTCCTCCATGCCATGAAGCGCGGGGCCCGAATTCTGAACCTCTCCAGTTTTCGCGATGATTCAAATTCTAGCCCTTGGGATTTCACCGCATTTGTACGGACTTTCGCGTTGTACCTCGACGAGCGCCTCGATTGCTTCATAACCGGTAAATTACAACGCCGGTTCACGCGCCGACGCGATTGTGGAGGTGGAGCCGCTGCTGGCCGGACGGGGAAATTTCGGCCCCCGAAGATGTATTTCAGCGACAGCATGAAGCCGCCGATGCTCCTCGACCGAATTTCCTACTGGCAGAAATTGTTAGACCGCGCGATGGCCACCCGGCCCACGGGGGCAGCAAAATCGAACCGGTTGGTTTTGATATGCTTGTACGCCGTCGTTCAGGAGAGCTTCGATTTGTATAAGGACATATCTGATGGGCTGGCACTCCTTCTCGATAGCTTCTTCCACCTTCCGTACCAATCCTGCGCCACCGCGTTTCAGGCGTGCGTGAAAGCGGCGAAGCAATTCGAAGAGCTATGTTCTTACTACGATTTTTGCAAATCGATGGGTGTCGGGAGGACATCGGAGTACCCTAGCGTTCAGAAGATCTCTGAGGAGCTTATCGAGACGCTGCAGGAGTTTTTGAAAGACCAGGCTTCATTTCCTGCGGTAACAGGTGGTGCCAGGTCTCCGCCGAGGCAGCCAGATGGAGAGGAGGAGGCTGCAGTGGAGGGTATTTCGTCTCGTGGTCGTCAATTATCGTCGCTTCAGGAACTCATGGGACTAGCTGGGATGGAGGAGCGAGAGGAAGATGAAGAGCCTTCGATGTCGTTGGAGAATCAGGACATGACCAGTACTGGTGAAGATAATAATGAGTCCTCGAGCTCGTTATCGTTTGATCAAGGCACGACGACGAGCACGAAAAGTAGTTGTGTAATGGACCTGTTGTCATTGGACGATTGGGATCTAGAGGATTTGAAGTTGGAGAATGAGAAGGCCTTAGAGAATTCAAATTCGGGATGGGAGATTGTCCTGGCAGAGATCGCGACACAATCGAGCACCGAAATCCCTAGCGGTTTCTTCGATTTGAACGAAGTTGGGAATTCCAACTCGCCGTTTGGATTGGAATTGGGAACTCCAGCGATTGCTGAAAATCATGTCCTTGATCACAATTACAACCCGTTTCTACAAGATATGGAGGTTAGTTTGCCTGAAATTGAAATAGAATCGAAGCCTCTGCCGTCACTGATGGCAGGGGACGAGAAGGCAATAGTTCTTATGGATGATTTGTTCTCGTCGGGAACGTTTCAGGCCACACCTCCGATGTTTAGCATTCATGAAAATCATCATTGTAAGAGTAACGAACTTATAGAGTGGAAAAATGAACCGGAATTGGAGACAGTGACAAGGATGACCATGGATGAAAATGTGATGGCTTTGGCAGATGATTTCTTCTCGACCACGGCTTCAACGTTTCAGGCGAGGCCAACATTCAGTGTTCAAAATACTAATAATAATCAGGAGAGTGGAATGTCAAGTGGATGGCCAATTGAAATGGAACAGAGGACGCCTGCAGGGGATGAGAATAAGGCAATAGTTCTATTTGATGATTTGTTCACTGCGGCACCATCTTTTCAAGCAACACCGCCGACATTCAGTGTAGAGAATGGTGAGTGCAATGGCTGCGATGATTTGTTTGGGCCGTGGCCAATTGTGGCGAAAGGTGGTGATGCGATGGAGCGGGAGAATTTGTTGAGGGAACAACAGATGTGGTTGGCGAATCAAAACAAGATTATAACGAAGAATTTGTGTCAATGATAATAATAATTGAAAGGAGGAAAAGGCGGGAGGCTGGGTGATTGGTGATAATCTTCTTTGCATTGTAGTTACTCTTTTCACTTGTGTAAAAAAATTGGTATTTTGGAGGGAATGTAAATTTGTGTAACTCATCAAGACATTAAATTTTTAGTGAAATTTTTAGAATATGTGCACACATAGGATTTACCGTTTATGCATATGATATTTTTCGTATAATTATGCAAAAGCGACGATGATTTGATCCACTTATTTAGACCTACTTAGGGGTGATAGCGGTGCGGTTTTGGTTTCAACCGAACCGCACCATCGGTTAGCCGAGACCGAGAATCACCCATCACTGCCAACCGAAGCCGACACCGAAGGGGTTCTCGGTTAAACTGCCAACCGCCACCGTCGGTTTCAACTTTTGGTTGCGGTTTGCCGAGACCGACCCACACCAATTTTGAAGCAGCGGCAGCAGGGGAAGAAGAGAGGCATCAGAGGCAGAAAATCCCAAGTTGGGTCTCCCGCAAATTGAGGTAGATGGAGGGAGAAAGCGTCGAGAGGAGGGGAGACTGGAGAGGGAGGAAGGACAGTGGCAGCGGCAGGGCGACGACGATTGGAGAAGGCAGGGTGGGTCGGGATCACGCTGTTGACCGCCGAGGATGAGGAAGGCAAGGCGGCGACCATCAAGGGACATGCAATGGGAAGCGGAGACGGCAACGAGGTGGGTGGATCTGTTTACGTTGAATCCTTCTGCAGCAGCGAGCCGGCGACCTCTTTCGACAAGGAAGGAGTGGGCGAAGTCAGGCGGGGGCGATTGAGGCGGAGAAGTCGACGGCGAGTGGCGATTGAGGATGGTGGTGGCTGCAGAGGAACGTCGGTAGAGAGCGAAGATTGAGGATGGTGGTGGGCTGGTGGATGCCGATTGGGAAAGGGTAGAGAGGGGCGAGCCGAGAGGAGAGGGAGAGATTGCGGATGGTGGTGGCTGGAGATTGGGATTCCCTATTTGGGAAAGGGTGGAGAGGGGCGAGCCGAGAGGAGAGGGAGAGGGAGATGATGATTGAACGAATTTGGAGAAGGGACGCCAAGATCGGGCTGGGCGATTGAAGATGGAACTGGGCAAGGAAGGAAGGAGAGAGAGCGACGAGTGAAGAAGGAGAGGTTTGGAGTCTAGGGAGAGGCAGAGTGGCGATGGTGAGAGCAGAGAGGGAGAGTCTCGAGAGGAACATCAGTTTTGGCGGTGCACCGAGATTATATCGGTGAGCAACCGTCGGTTGCCGGTTAGCCTAAAACCCCAAATCATCCAACCGACACCGATGCATTCTTCACGGTTTTCGGTTCACCGAGTTACCGCGGTTTTCGGTTCGATTTTCAGGTTAATCGGTAAACCGACAACCGATTAACAGCCCTAGAACTACTAATCTAGTTCCTTGAGAGGGAAAAAAATCCAAACATATTTGTTCTTTTTTGTTGGAACTTGGCGATATGGAGTTCAAAGTAAAGTACCAATTTTATTTAGACTGAATCGATTTTAGTTCATGTTTGGCCCAATTTTTCTTAGAGCTTTTCTGATTAAATACACAATTCTGGTTAAACATCTTTTCAAATTTGAATTTGAAAAAAAATAATAGCACTTTTGATAGCATAAAAGCATAGCTTTATAGTCATTTTACATTTAGGGATCTTTTAGATGTGTTAGTTGTCAATATGTGTAATTTGTTTATAAATAAGTAAATAACTTATTTTTTGAGAATATGGTATTTCTGTGAAAATTGAGTTTTATCATGGTTGGGTTTATAATTCACGTGAGTTAATTCTCTTATGGTATTTAATAATGAAAAGGCTAAAATACCATATTGCCCTCAAGAATACCTCCATATGTACTCTCTCATCCTATCAATTCGTTTCTCGCTCAATAGAAATATTCCGATCCTTACTCCAGTATCACCTTCAACATGAGTTATAGTCATCCCCATGTGCACAAAAAGGATGGGGAACTTGGAATGATACCATTGTCTCAACCACTCTCAAGCAAACATACTACTTTGGTTTGTCTTTTTATAAATTCTTATTATGGCCTCATTTATGTACCATGTAGGGTGGCTATACGGTCCAGTCCGGTTAAATTGGTCCAAATTGATCCGGTTCAAGTTCGGTCTTTTCGGGAATATAAGGACCAAAGATTGGATTGGATACAGTCTGATCCCAATTCGGTCTTGATTTTAGATTGAGTTTGTGGGGATTTGAGTGGTCTGAGGCCTCAAAGGGTGAGAAGTTGGTTAAGTTTTGGGTGTTGGGCTCTCTTATCCGGTCTTTATCTGATTTTCGATCCGGTCCCAAACGAGTTTTGATCTCAAATCTAATCTCGAAGATGAGATTGGATTGTTTGTTATCCGGTGCCAGTCCGAGTTATACGGTACGGTTTTGGGTAAAACCAAAAAGCGCGGACCAAATAGCTAGCCCTAGTACCATGTACACTAGCTTGGCCGGATGAGTGTTTTGATTGTCAATTTGGACGGTCAACGCTACAGCTCACTACCATGTCAACACCAAATAAATAAAAAATTCTAATTTAAAATGATTTCGAATGTTTTTTTATCTAATAATAAAATAAACCAAAATATGAAATATGGAAAATAATTTGAAATTTTATTTATTTATTTTGTGATGATATGAAAATGAGATGGAGCCTCGATCATTAGTGAAAGGTGTTGAGCGTAAATTTTTTCGTTTTTTGGTTTATTTTATTATTTGGTAAATGAAATATCGAAAATAATTTGAAATTTGATTATTTATTTATTTGGTGCACAACAAATGTCCCATCTTTATGTAGTTGTGCTTTTGTTATTATTTTTTTATTGGGTTAATAGCATTTTCTACCCCTCTACTATCACAAATTGACAAACATACCCCTGTACTAATTTTTTGCACAAACATACTCTTTTACTATTAAAACGTAACAAACATAATCTTGTGTCTAATTGACCTTTAGATGACTGTTAAGGGGACTGGTAAATGACTAAATTACCCCTAATTTGATGTTAATTTAGTTTTGATTATTAAGTTCCAAAATAATTAAAAATAAAACAAAACCCTTAAAGAAACCCCTCCACCCATTGTGAAACCATCCATCTCCCACAAGCCCGCCTCTCCTGAAATTCAGTCTCCCCTGAAGTCTCAATCCCCGGCGAAGGCTCCTGCTTTCTCTTCGTCGGCGTCGGCCCTCGTTTTCTCCTCGCCGGCGGCTGGAGCAGGAAGGACAGCTCGCGATCCCAATTCATCTATCTTCTCCACGCGAACACACAGCTCGAGGGAGGCGCTCGATTCTTCCAGCTTAGGCGACTAAAGCAGCTTGCTTTCCCTCATCGAGAAGGAATCTCTCCCCATTCAGCAATCGCCTTTGCTAATAAATCCTCAGTGAATTGGTATTGCGGAGGTATTGTTTGTTTAAACCAAACCAATTATACAACTTTTAACTTTTAGTGTGTGATGGATATAGGACAAATAGATAGTAATTAAATATTGGTTGTATGTTATGATTTTGGAATTTGGTAGGTAAAGGAAAAGCCCATCACTGTTAGCTGTTTGTGGGCTCAAGATAGGGTGCATAACCATGGGCTATGCACCCATCAATAACCAAATCTGGACCCTTCATTTAGAAAATCCAGATCTAAGGATGGAGAATTAAAGACTATTTTTATTTTTACTAGCTTTCTTAATTGACTCATATCTTTTTCGTTTTAACTCGGATTTTAATTTTTTTTGCACAGATGGAACGAGTTCACCGTGCTCTACAAAATGAGATCAATTTTCAATATTTTTTGAGGAAAAAAAATTCTGGCCTCTCGGTACCAACTGCATACCATATGGTATTTTCTTCATTTTTAATTCGTTTTTGAAAACGTTTGCACATCAGGGACGAGTTCATCATGATCTACTGGATCTACAAATTTCTGGGTGAACAAAATACAGGACCAAAAAATACCACACAATACCATACAATACCACCCTGGTACGGGGTGGTATTGTATGGTATCTTCTTCGTTTTTAATTCGTTTTTGAAAACGTTTGCACAGAAGGGACGAGTTCATCATGATCTATTGGATCTACAAATTTCTGGGTGAACAAATTACAGGACCAAAAAATACCACACAATACCATACAATACCACCCTGGTACGAGGTGGTATTGTGTGGTATACAATGTTAAAAGTCATAAATTACAATTAATATACTTCTACTATCATGTATTCAACCATCCTACAATATTGGTTTGTTCATACCACCATGGTACGTTTTTCAAAACATAGGTATGCTTTTATTTCAATACCAGTCAATACCATATGGTATAGGCTGGTAAAAAATGACTCAATTTTTTTTGTTCGAAAAATATATTAAAGTGGATATCATTTTGAAGAGCACAATTAATCTGATCTAACTGTGCAAAAAAATTAAATTTCGACTTAAAATGAGCGAGAAATCGTCCGTCAAAGATTAAAGAGGGAAAAATTAAAGGCTTTTTATGAGAGAGAGGATGCTGATGTCATGCTGATGTGGACAGGTTACTCATGGTTACTCACCATAAGGTTACTGACCTGATCCATTCCCCTGTTTGTGCGGCAGCAAACATGACTAATGAAGGAGAAAATGGTAGCGGGCTTGCTGAAATTCATTGTGCAACTATTAATTATGAAAGTTTAGTTGCTGAAAATGTGAGTCTTGCGGCTGCAATTAATGAAGCACGTGATGTCGATGATGAAGGTGACAAAGAGAAGGGTAACTCCTATAGCGAGTTCGAATTGAACCCAGATTGGGTTAGTGACCAGGATATTGCGGATAGAGAAGAGATAATATCAAAGGTTCATAAGGCAAAAGAGAAGTTGTATATAGGAATTCCTGTTACTTACCACTATGATGATGAAGTTGATAGAGGACAGGACGAAGGTGATGATCACCTGGATTTCAACTCAAGTGATGATGGGAGTTATTAAGGAACTGATGAGGATGATGAAGTTGCTG